CATTTTGTGATTTTTTGTGAAATTTGATGTTAATAAAATGATACCAGGAGCATATCATTCCACGGTCATTTATCTCCCCCATAGTATTGGTTCAGTAGGGGTGACACTTCTATTGTCCAGTGTGTGTATATCAACCCGCACACATACACATACATTCAAGGAAAACACGACAAATCACTTGTCAGTAAAACAAAGAGTGTTTTGTTTGTACTCAAGAGGCACTCCTTTTTTTAAATTCTGCTGTATGTCTTGAATTACTCGAAAAACATACGATATGACCGTCTTTTATTTTAGTGACTCTTCTTTATTCTTTCTAAATTCAGCTACAAACCACGTAACACAGGCTACGCCATGCACGGATGGCGACACATTTCCACATCCGTCTGGAGATTGCAACAGATACTTAGTATGTGCCAGCGGTTCTCTCCAGGATCACAATTGTATCACTGGACTCAACTTTGATCCTAATACTCATGGCTGCGTTTGGCCCCGGGAATACGCTTGCCCTGCAACTACTCCTACAACCACTACTGCGGCGCCGTTTACAGGGACAGGTAGCACCACTCTTCTGACAGTTACGCCTACTACACCAGGAGTCACGTCCACAACAACATGTACAAATGGACAATACTATGTGCATCCGTCCGGGGATTGTAACCGGTATCTTTCTTGTGCGAACGGCATACTTTTAGAACAGTCCTGTGGGGCAGGCCTCTTTTTTCGTCCAGATGATGGTAGTTGCGTTTGGCCTAGCGATTACACTTGCCCCACGACCACCACCACAACCACTACCACAGCACCGTATACAGGGACAGGTAGCACCACTCAACGGACAGTTACGCCTACTACCCCAGGAGTCACGTCCACAACAGCATGCACAAATGAACAGAACTACGTGCATCCGTCCGGAGACTGTACCCGATACCTTTCATGCTCCAACGGCATGCTTGTAGAAACGTCATGTGCAGCAGGCCTCAATTTCAGTCCAATTGATGGTACGTGCGTTTGGTCCAGCCAGTATGCTTGTCCTGCTACCATCACTACAACCACTACAACGGCACCGTATACAGGGACAGAGACGCCTACTACGTCGACAACAACATGCACACATGGACAGAACTATGTACATCCGTCTGGGAATTGTACCCGATACCTCACATGTTCGGACGGTATTCTATTAGAACATTCCTGTACAGAAGGCCTAAATTACAGTCCAGATGAAAGTCACTGTGTTTCGCCCAGTCAGTACGCTTGTCCTACGACCACCAGTTCAACCACTACAGCGATTTCGTATACAGAAACAGGTACCGCAACAACCACTACCATGGCTCCGTATACATGGACAGACACCACGGCAACCAAGCCAACCACTACAACCACTACCACGGCGCCTTATAAAGGGACAGGTAGCACCACTCCTCGGACAGTTACTCCTACTACACCAGGAGTCACTTCCACAACCACATGCACACGTGACGGACAGAACTACGTGCATCCGTATGGCGACTGTAACCGTTATCTGACATGCTCGAATGGCATGATTTTAGAAAAATCATGTTCGACAGGTCTGAATTTCAATCCATACGAAAATATCTGTGTTTTGCCCAGCCAGTACGCTTGCCTTACGATTACTACACCAATAACCTCATCTGGTGCTCACTTTCAACATTCTCTTGGTTTGTTTACGCCATTATTGTTCTGCCTGCTGCACTTAAACATTTGAGTGTAACCACATTAATATTAAAAGTGTTTTAGTAAAAATTATGAACAAAGGTAAAAATATTGTGTTGTGTAAAAAGATTGTTGATAAGTACAATATATGTGTGCGTAACGAATATTTATGTCTCTTCATAAACCCAAGCGAAAGGATAAGTAAAGAACAAACACAAATATAGTGTTCGAAATTTGGCCTGTAGCGGCTGCTTTTTATTGAAAGGTCCCTCTAGTAAAGAATGGTGTTAGATGTAAAATAGCATTAGATAATGTTAATTAGTTAAAAGTACGTAATGTTATATCATAAAAATAAATATCAAAACAAATAGTGCAAATATTTTCATTCGTGGGGTTGCAAAGAGTATTTATGTGTATGTAGTATTATCTGTTCATTTGTGTTGGAGTACACATATATGTTAACACAGTGACAACTAAATAAATTATTAGCTTTTTACTTTTTACTTTTGTTTATGCTTTTGTTTATGCAACAAAGGCCGGACTCCAATAACTTAAATCAAATAAATTAATAGAAAAAAATACAAAATTGTTACTGATATGTTAGGCTAGATATCAGTAGAGAGTAATTTGAAAATTTCTAAAAGATAAAAAGAAATTGTAATATTGTTAAAAACAATGCATTCAAAAGGTATCTACAACAGCAGTTCGATGATGTGTTTTAGTAAATATCTAATTCTTTTGAGACGATCAATTAATTATATGGCACAGAGCACACGATGTTTAAAAATACTATTTTGAGCAAAATGTCCCTTTCATTCTTTATTCAGATTCATAGCCTCTATTCGTTTTGACCGTCAAACATTTTTCGAGAAGCCACAGTTATTAACAGTTGACTATTAAATCCAATAATCAAGAAAGTTAAGTGTTGACATTTCCGCACTTTCTTCTCGTTTTATATATATAAAGTTAAGATTGTGAGCATTTGCTGATACGACGGACATTGTAGACGTGCAATGAACATTAAACTCACAGCTTAAAGAAAAGAATTATAAATACTACAAAAATTTTACGCCCAAACTCCACCTTTCTTTCTGTGGCCTATAATTTTATCCTAAAGACACAACGCGTTCTTTCAACAATACCTTTAACAAATACGGGAAGAAGTGTAGAGGCTTCACTTATCGCCGCCACGCCTTCAGTAAAGAGAAAGGTTTGTACATGAGCAGATTTGGCACACGGTGAGCATTTGGCGCGCGCCACTTGCGCTGCGCCGTTTTCTCATCGTGTGCGGGGGTATTTTGGTGAGATTTTTGCCTCTCGCGCGGCTGAGCAAAATTTCTCACGTGTTTGATTTTTTTGGTCTCTTGAGGCAAATGTCTCAGCATGTGCGGGGTGCAAGCGCCGATTGCTCACGCCATGCTAACAATGCGCATGTGCCAGTAGCCGGAAACAAACAAAAATGGCAGCCCCCAGCGAAGTCAACAAAAATGTACACAGTTATAGTTAGTCTGATTGATTAACGTGGTCACCATTATCCATTACTATCAGAAAAAAACAACAATATGTAATGTTTCCTTAAACACGTGATCCCACAGTTCACAGTGTGTCCGCTAGGGGCGGGCCGGGAGGCACCTCTGCTGATCAAAGAGCGCAGCGTTTGCGGGGAGCTGAGGAGCCCGAGCATCTTGCTCAGCTTACCGTGTGCGGGGTGCTTAAATACTAGAAAATAATCTGAGACGTCAGGGATTTCTACGCGCCGATAATGTCGCCTTGGAGGGCTTTCCCCAGCCCCCGAACTTAAAAGTTTACAAAACAATTCAAGGGAAAATACGCCTAAAGAGACAGCTCAAATAACTCAAATGCTGGCTTTGATCTTGTAAAGAACAAAATTATTACCAGTGCTCAAAAATATTTTTATGTTATTCGAAATGTGACAGTTGTGCAAAGAAAAGCAATGTTGAGTAAATTGTGCCGGAGAGAGAGAGAGAGAGAGAGAGAGAGAGAGATCAAAATATAACTAGCCTATAGAGGTTACTAGTGCTATATTTTATTGGACCTCGGGTTTGTTTAAAGAGTGTATTTATGCGCTCTCTTCCAGCCACCTGAACTGGCTGACGAAGGCAGAAGACTCTTAAAATTGGTATAAAAAGTATACATGATCTCCTCTGGACATTGCACACACTCTCTTAAAAATAACTCGGTTCAGCGTACACGTTTATTATGGATTTTTCAACTACTAGTATTGATAATTAGTAATGCAGCTAAATTTGAACGATAGACAGTGATTAAACATGTTTTATATTTCACCTTCATCCAAGAAGGCCACTGGGGAGGAATCAATAGACCCTTAATGTAAACAAAATCTGAAAGATTTTTTTTTCAAAAGCACAACAAAGACCAAACAAGGCATGGCTTTCACAACACAATAACCTGAGAGAGGAGTATTGAGGTCGAACATTATGCTGTGTGCCCTGTGTATCATGGGTTCAGACTCGCTGGGCGAACTAAAATAAGCTTCCTGGTTCACTGTAGGTGGTTTTCTTTTTGTAATGACAGCTGCCTGACGATGATCAGTAAAACGTATGCAATTTAATAAACAGGCCGAACGACGCAATATTAGCAATTTAAAGATAGTTATATATGAAAAGGAAACTCCAATATAGAATTGGTATCCAAGACGGTCTTGGCATGGCTTTGAAGGGGCATTGGCTGGTATATGTGGCATGGCTGGTAACAATGTTAACCTTCGCAGGTAAGTTTACAATGTGTGATCGAGTATGAACTTTCACCAAAAGGATATCGTATTTTTGCCCTGAAGTCGGGTCCGTAGGCGGGGGAGGGGGAGGGGGAGGGGGTAGAGGGTGGGGGCTTTGGAAGGTCCGCACTTCTGGTTGGGAAAATGCCCGCTTTAAACAATAAGTTTAAGGTTCTAAGCCAGAACTAGAACCCACATAGATTTCACGGTGAAAAAGGTCCACCTTTTCAGACCCCCTATTTGGATGTTAAGAACAAAGGACAATTAGCCCCAAGAATACATCACACATCCTGTTTTGTAAATCCAGCCAAAATGTTTTTAATAAATTGCTCATTTCATTTCTGCTATAATAGGCTTGTATTTATTATTATACTCCGATCATCAGATGGGTATATTTATTGTAATTTCATGTCCTCACTTTTGCAGCATGTGGTAAGCTCAACTTAATAAAAATCTGACTGTCAAACAGTCACGTTTTTTCCTCTGTTAAAAGCTATGTCAATGATGGTCTGATGATAGGCCTAATCACCAAATTTATTAGTACCAATGAGTAATCTTTTGATCAATCTATCTGATGTTAAAACCGGTGAATCTAAGAGCATTTTATTTTGAGCGGCAGCAGCAAAAGTTTGGTCCACAGTGCCTCCCATTGCAAGTGTCGAAGCGGTACATTTTCAAACCTAGTTTGGCGGTGTCCTTTGTGGTATCTTCAGACAGTTGTGGCCTTCCTGTATACACATGGAGAGCGTTAAAACATTCCAGTCTGGAAAATAAACCTACACGTTAAATGTTGTATAGATACCATTAAATCAGGATTGTGAATCATGAGAGGAAAGTGAAGAACCCCACGAGGTGATAGCAATAAAATACCCCCCCCCCCCAAAAAAAAAAGGAAAAAAAATTAAAGGACTTGTGTTTGACAAAACATGTCAGTAGTGATATATACGAGATATAATTTGCACCTCTTCTGCACAGGAGGTATGGGACATATTATATATACAGGCCCGTAGCCAGGGGGGGTTCGGGGGGGTTCAAAAGAACCACCCTTTTTGCTGGGAAAAGGTCCACTTTGGATAAAATTTGATCTAGGTACAACAAGGTTTTATGGTAAAAGGTCCACTTTTTGAGAAAACGAACCCCCAGTTTGAAATTGCTGGCTACGGGCCTGATATATATATATATATATATATATATATATATATTACGGATCTATCTAATGTAGCGTAAATGCAATGTCAACCATAGGAAATTTTAAAGGTAAAGGTCGTTATGCTTTCAAGTTGGAAAAAGAACAGTTATGAAATAAAAGATCTTAAAGGTAAAATTATCATCTATGAAACACAACCCATTATATCTAAATTGTATGGGCGATTTTTACCCTCCTCTGCTGACTTGGTAATCTTGTTCAGAGAGGGCGCTACTTCCACAGATTTCTGCGCAAGTTGGCGCGTCGCCACTGCACGTCCTGCGCACTGCAAACACCCATCCACCCCGGCCACTCAGAGCAGTGCAAGATGACTGGGCGAGTTCGTCCCGGTAGTTGTATGCAACCTGGTACTGGGATGTGCTGCAGGTTTCTATACACAAAAAAAGAGAAGTTATAAACGTGTTTGGATATTAATATACAGGGATGTTTACGGGATCTTGACACATTGCAAAGCAGGCACCACAAGGCAGGCACCACCACCATGAAGATTAAAATTCAGTGTTTACACATTTTCATGAAAAGATAGATGGAGATATTGATTGATACCCAGTCAAATAAATAACAGGCCTCAAAATGTCTTATTTCTAAATGTGAGAACAGACTAGAACAAAATTATCAAAGCTAAACAATTGGATTGCCCAAAGCTTTCATTTCGTTTCTTTTTAGCTATATAGGAACCAAATATTTTATAGCCTAATAACCATAATAAATATATAAATGAATTAGTAAAGAAATAAAGTTACATGTACTAATGAATGATTTCAAGTCTTACCTCCCGCTGCTTCATCACAACTCATTACTCCCATAAGAGCAATGCAGGCTTCATAGAGAGATGCCACTTTCACAACTTTACCCAGCATACTGTATATCGCTTTAAAATCTCTGTAGCTTGGATTCGATCAGCTCAAAGCTGTGCAGAATCTATTAAAACCAGTGTTAACGTCAGTTATATATGTACGAGTAAATCAGCCTTGAAGGCCTGGGGGATAGCAAGAGCGGGAGAATGAAGGGGCTTGAGAGGCATCCTAGAAACAGAACATCTACTCCTGGTGTGCATAAAAGTGTGGCAAAGACGATGAAATAGTGCATTAGATTCGTAGGGCATTACTTTGAAGGCCCCTATTTCACACAGACCACGAATCCCACGAATCGCCAGGAATTGACAAATTTCAGGATTCGTGAGGATTCGTGAGATTTTGCCAATTTTCTAGTCTAATTCGACACACTCACGATTCAGTTACGATACAGGTGCGATAGTGTTACGAATATTCGTGGGATTCGGCTGGAGTCGTGAGATTTTGCCAATTTTCTGGTATAATTCGACACGCTCTACGATTCAGTTACGATACAGGTGCGATAATGTTACGAATTTTCGTAGGATTCGGCTGGAATCGCACGAATATTGTCCAGAAATTCACTACGATTTTTTGGAATCGGGAGTTCGTGGCCAAGACTTTGAACAGCTCAATTTTTTTGCCACGAATTCCCGATTGATCAAGAATTGCAAGAACTGACTACGATTATATACGAATCTATTAATAACTTCACGAACTGATTACGATTCAACCACGAATCCTGAAATTTTCAATTCCTGGCGATTCGTGGGATTTGTGGTCTGTGTGAAATAGGGGCATCAAAGTTTTTGCCACCAATTCTTGTTGGTCAAGAAGTGCAAGAACTGACTACGAATATATACGAATCTGTTAAGAACTTTACGAACTGATTACGATTCAACCACGAATCGTAAAATTTGTCAATTCATGGCCATTCCTAAGATTCGTGGTCTGTGTGAAATAGGGGCATAAGGGGAGGCAGTGTCGTTCAACTCAATTATATTTTAATAGCTGCATTTAGTAATATTGTAAAAAAAATAATATATTCTTTATTTGTCGTGCTTCTGCTCACTATTTAAAATATATATAACAGCTTGTTGTTAAGAAGCATTTTCGTGACACCAGTTCCGTTACGCTTGAGGGACAACCCTTGCATCATTTTGGAGTAAGTTGAACAAGTAAAACAAGAGCATCAAATAGTGGTCCTTTGTTCCAATGACTCTTCATTCTTTTTTTAATTCAGCTGCAAACCACGCAACACAGGCGACACCATGCACGACTGGCGACACGTTTCCACACCCGTCTGGAGATTGCAACAAATACATAGTATGTGCCAGCGGTTCTCTCCAGGACGAGAATTGTATCACTGGACTCAACTTTGACCCCCATACCCATGGCTGCGTTTGGCCCAGCCAGTACGCTTGTCCTACGACCACAACTACAACCACTACCACGGCACCGTATACAGGGACAGGTAGCTCCACGTCTCGGACAGGTACTCCTACTACACCAGGAGTCACATCCACAACAACATGTACAGATGGGCAATACTACGTGCATCCGTCCGGAGATTGTAACCGCTATCTTTCATGTGTGAACGGCATACTTTTAGAACAGTCCTGTGGGACAGGCCTCTTTTTCCGTCCAGATGATGATAGCTGCGTTTGGCCCAGCGATTATACTTGCCCTACGACCACCACCACAACTACTACCACAGCACCGTATACAGGGACAGGGACGCCTACTACCCCAAGAGTCACGTCCACAACAACATGCACAAATGGACAGAACTACGTACATCCGTCCGGAGACTGTACCCTATATCTTAGATGCTCAAACGGTATGCTTGTTGAAACGTCTTGTTCAGCAGGCCTCAACTTCAGTCCAAATGACAGTACCTGCCTTTGGCCCTGGCAGTACGCTTGTCCTACGACTACCACTACAACCACTACCACGGCACCGTATACAGGGACAGGTAGCACCACTCCTCGGACAGTTACTCCTACTACACCAGGAGTCACGTCGACAACAACGTGTACACATGGACAGGATTACGTGCATCCGTCTGGAGATTGTAATCGATATCTTTCATGCTCGAAAGGTATGCTTTTAGAAACGTCATGTCCAGTGGGTCTCAACTTCAGTCCAATTGATGGTTACTGCGTTTGGCCCAGCCAGTATGCTTGTCCTGCTACCATCACTACAACCACTACAACGGCACCGTATACAGGGACAGAGACGCCTACTACGTCGACAACAACATGCACACATGGACGGAACTATGTACATCCGTCTGGGAATTGTACCCGATATCTCACATGTTCGGACGGTGTACTATTAGAACATTCCTGTACAGAAGGCCTCAATTACAGTCCAGATAAAAGCCACTGTGTTTCGCCCAGTCAGTACGCTTGTCCTACGACCACCAGTTCAACCACTACAGCGATTTCGTATACAGAAACAGGTGCCAAAACAACCACTACCACGGCACGGTATACAGGGACAGGCACCACGGCAACCACTGAAACCACTACCACAGCACCGTATACAGGGACAGGTAGCACCACTCCCCGGACAGTTACTCCTACTACACCAAGAGTCTCGTCCACAACCACATGCACACATGACGGACAGAACTACGTACATCCGTATGGCGACTGTAACCGTTATCTGACATGCTCGAACGGCATGATTTTAGAAAAGTCATGCACGACAGGTCTAAATTTCAATCCGTATGAAAAAATCTGCGTGTCACCCAGCCAGTACGCTTGCCTTACGGTTACTACACCAATAACCTCAGCTGGCGCTCACTTTCAACATTCTCTTGGTTTGTTTACGCCATTATTGTTCTGCCTGCTGCACTTAAAAATTTGAGTGTAACCACATTAATATTAAAAGTGTTTTTGTAAAAATTGTGAACAAAGGTAAAAATATTGTGTTGTGTAAAAAGATTGTTTGATAAGTACAATATATCTGTGCGTAACGAATATTTATGCCTCCTCAATAACCCAAGCGAAAGGATAAGTAAAGAACAAACACAAATATAGTGTTCGAAATGTGTCTGGTAGCGGCCGCTTTTATTGAAAGGTCCATCTAGTAAAGAATGGTGTTAGATATTAAATAGCATTAGATAATGTTAATTAGTTAAAAGTACGTAATGTTATATCAAAAAAATAAACATCAAAACAAAAAGTGCAAATATTTTCATTCGTGGGGTTGCAAAGAGTATTTATGTGTATGTAGTATTATCTGTTCATATGTGTTGGAGTACACATATATGTTAACACAGTGACAACTAAATAAATTATTAGCTTTTTACTTTTTACTTTTGTTTATGCTTTTGTTTATGCAACAAAGAACGGACTCCAATAACTTAAATCAAATAAATTAATAGAAAAAAATACAAAATTGTTACTGATATGTTAGGCTAGATATCAGTAGAGAGTAATTTGAAAATTTCTAAAAGATAAAAAGAAATTGTAATATTGTTAAAAACAATGCATTCAAAAGGTATCTACAACAGCAGTTCGATGATGTGTTTTAGTAAATATCTAATTCTTTTGAGACGATCAATTAATTATATGGCACAGAGCACACGATGTTTAAAAATACTATTTTGAGCAAAATGTCCCTTTCATTCTTTATTCAGATTCATAGCCTCTATTCGTTTTGACCGTCAAACATTTTTCGAGAAGCTACAATTATTAACAGTTGACTATTAAATCCAATGATCAAGAAAGTTAAGTGTTGACATTTCCGCCCTTTCTTCTCTTTTTATATATATAACGTTAAGATTGTGAGCATTTGCTGATACGACGGACATTGTAGACGTGCAATGAATATTAAACTCACAGCTTAAAGAAAAGAATTATACCTACTGCAAAATTTTTACGCCCAAACTCCACCTTTCTTTCTGTGGCCTATAATTTTATCCTAAAGACACAACGCGTTCTTTCAACAATACCTTTAACAAATAAGGGAAGAAGTGTAGAGGCTTCACTTATCGCCGCCACGCCTTCAGTAAAGAAAAAGGTTTGTACATGAGCAGATTTGAGTAACAATCGGTAAATACTAGAAAATAATCTGAGACGTCAGGGATTTCTACGCGCCGATAATGTCGCCTTGGAGGGCTTTCCCCAGCCCCCGAACTTAAAAGTTTACAAAACAATTCAAGGGAAAATACGCCCAAAGAGACAGCTCAAATAACTCAAATGCTGGCTTTGATCTTGTAAAGAACAAAATTATTACCAGTGCTCAAAAATATTTTTATGTTATTCGAAATGTGACAGTTGTGCAAAGAAAAGCAATGTTGAGTAAATTGTGCCGGAGAGAGAGAGAGAGAGAGAGAGAGAGAGAGAGATCAAAATATAACTATAGAGGTTACTAGTGCTATATTTTATTGGACCTCGGGTTTGTTTAAAGAGTGTATTTATGCGCTCTCTTCCAGCCACCTGAACTGGCTGACGAAGGCAGAAGACTCTTAAAATTGGTATAAAAAGTATACATGATCTCCTCTGGACATTGCACACACACTCTTAAAAATAACTCGATTCAGCGTACACGTTTATGGATTTTTCAACTACTAATATTGATAATTAGTAATGCAGCTAAATTTGAACGATAGACAGTGATTAAACATGTTTTATATTTCACCTTCATCCAAGAAGGCCACTGGGGAGGAATCAATAGACCCTTAATGTAAACAAAATGTGAAAGATTTTTTTCCAAAAGCACAACAAAGACCAAACAAGGCATGGCTCTCACAACACAATAACCTGAGAGAGGAGTATTGAGGTCGAACATTATTCTGTGTGCCCTGTGTAGCATGGGTTCAGACTCGCTGAGCGAACTAAAATAAGCTTCCTGGTTCACTGTAGGTGGTATTCTTTTTGTAATGACAGCTGCCTGACGATGATCAGTAAAACGTATGCAATTTAATAAACAGGCCGAACGACGCAATATTAGCAATTTAAAGATAGTTATATATAAAAAGGAAACTCCAATATAGAATTGGTATCCAAGACGGTCTTGGCATGGCTTTGAAGGGGCATTGGCTGGTATATGTGGCATGGCTGGTAACAATGTTAACCTTCGCAGGTAAGTTTACAACGTGTGATCGAGTACGAACTTTCACCAAAAGGATATCGTATTTTTGCCCTGAATTCGGGTCCGTAGGCGGGGAAGGGGAGGGGGGTAGTGGGTGGGGGCTCAGGAAGGTCCGCATTTCTGGTTGGGAAAATGCCCGCTTTAAACCATAAGTGTAAGGTTCTAAGCTAGTACTAGAACCCACATAGATTTCACGGTGAAAAAGGTCTACCTTTTCAGACCCCCTATTTGGATGTCAAGAACAAAGGACAAATAGCCCCAAGAATACATCACACATCCTGTTTTGTAAATCCAGCCAAAATGTTTTTAATAAATTGCTAATTTTCATTTCTTCTATAATAGGCTTATATCTATTATGATACTCCATTTGCCGATCATCAGATGGGAATATTTATTGTAATTTTCTGTCCTCATAATGCGACAGTCTCACTTTTGCCGCATATGGTAAGCTCAACTTAATAAAAATCTGACTGTCAAACAGTCACGTTTTTTTCCTCTGTTAAAAGCTATGTCAATGATGGTCTGATGATAGGCCTAATCACCAAATTTATTAGTACCAATGAGTAATCTTTTGATTAATCTGTCTGATGTTAAAACCGGTGACTCTAAGAGCATTTTATTTTGAGCGGCAGCAGCAAAAGTTTGGTCCACAGTGCCTCCCATTGCAAGTGTCGAAGCGGTACATTTTCAAGCCTAGTTTGGCGGTGTCCTTTGTGGTATCTTCAGACAGTTGTGGCCTTCCTGTATACACATGGAGAGCGTTAAAGCATTCCAGTCTGGAAAATAAACCTACACGTTAAATGTTGTATAGATACCATTAAATCAGGATTGTGAATCATGAGAGGAGAGTGAAGAACCCCACGAGGTGATAGCAATAAAATACCCCCCCCCCCTCCAAAAAAAAAAGGAATTAAAAATTTAACGACTTGTGTTTGACAAAACATCTCAGTAGTGATATATACGAGATATAATTTGCACCTCTTCTGCACAGGAGGTATGGGACATATTATATATACAGGCCCGTAGCCAGGGGGGATTCGGGGGGGTTCAAAAGAACCGCCCTTTTTGCTGGGAAAAGGTCCACTTTGGATAAAATTTGATCTAGGTAAAAGGTCCACTTTTTCAGAAAACGAACCCCCCATTTGAAATTGCTGGCTACAGGCCTGATATATATATTACGGATCTATCTAATGTAGCGTAAATGCAATGTCAACCATAGGAAATTTTAAAGGTAAAGGTCGTTATGCTTTCAAGTTGGATAAAGAAAAGTTATGAAATAAAAGATTTTAAAGGTAAAATTATCATCTATGAAACACAACCCATTATATCTAAAATTGTATGGGCGATTTTTACCCTCCTCTGCTGACTTGGTAATCTTGTTCAGAGAGGGCGCTACTTCCACAGATTTCTGCGCAAGTTGGCGCGTCGCCACTGCACGTCCTGCGCACTGCAAACACCCATCCACCCCGGCCACTCAGAGCAGTGCAAGATGACTGGGCGAGTTCATCCCGGTAGTTGTATGCAACCTGGTACTGGGATGTGCTGCAGGCTTCTACACAAAAAACAGAGAAGTTATAAACGTGTTTTGATATTAATATACAGGGATGTTTACGGGATCTTGACACATTGCAAAGCAGGCACCACCAGGCAGGTACCACCACCAGGCAGGTTAAAATTCAGTGTTTACACATTTTCATGAAAAGATAGATGGAGATATTGATTGATACCCAGTTAAATAAATAACAGGCCTCAAAATGTCTAATTGCTAGATGTGAGAACAGAATAGAACAAAATCATCAAAGCTTAACAATTGGATCGGATTGGCCAAAGCTTTCATTTCGTTTCTTTTTAGCTATACAGGAACAAAACATTTTATAGCCAAATACCCATAATAAATATATAAATGAATAAATAAAGGAATGAAGTTACTAATGAATGGTTTCAAGCCTTACCTCCCGCTGCTTCATCACAACTCAACACTCCCATAAGAGCAATGCAAGCTACGTAGAGAGGTGCCACTTTCACAACTTTACCCAGCATACTGTATATCGCTTTAAAATCTCTGTAGCTTGGATTCAGCTCACAGCAGTGCAGAATCTATTAAAACCAGTGTTAACGTCAGTTATATATACCAGTAAATCAGAACTGTAATATCCTCCTTTACAAAATATGATTTGATTTAAAAGGAGAAAATTACGGGATGGGTCACGGGGCTCATTCCCAATTAAATTATCATTCTAAGTAAATCGATCCAACTCTGCGGGGATTCTGGCTGATTGCAATCAGATTAACTCGCATCCTCTGCAGATTACATAAAAGCTGGTAATGATACGAGTAGGTTGGAAATAAGAGGAGGCGTGTTAATCGGATATACCTGTATTCTTGAGAATAAACCCACAGAATCACGCTCTTCACTTTGTGCAAATCCTTGACACGGCACTAGCACAATTAATGAACAAAAAATGAAGAACCATATTGCTGCTGGTCATTATTCACATAAATGGTATTTATTTATTTATTTATTTATTTATTGGTTAAAAAGTATGTGACAATAATAAAACCATTTTCAAAAAACGCGTCTGCCACAACACTGTAGCATCTACTAAATGCCTCGGTCCTATGTTAAACATTAACCAGTATTTTCTACTTCGTTGTTCAACTGGTTTTGCTCTGTATGTATGCCTTTTTCTTTTCCACAAGTTAGAGGGGGTTATCAGGGGGGGGGGTTGAAGGCCTGGGGGCTAGCAAGAGCGGGAGAATGAAGGGGCTTGAGAGGGATACTACAAACAGAAAAACTACTCCCAGTGTGCATAAAAGTGTGGCAAAGACGATGAAATAGTCCATTAGATTCGTAGGGCATTACTTTGAAGGGAAGGCATTGTCTTTCAACTCAATTCAATTTTGACAGCTACACTTGGTAATATTGTTAAAAAAAATAATATATTCTTTATTTGTCTAATTTGGAATATATATATGCCCAACAGCTTGTTGTTTAGAAGCATTTTCGTGACATCAGTTCCGTTACGCTTGAGGGACAACATTTGCACCATTTTGGATTGAGTTGCACAAGTTAAACAAGAGCATCAAACAGTGGTCCTTTGTTCCAACTACTCTTCATTCTTTTTTAATTCAGCTGCAAACCACGCAACACAGGCGACGCCATGCACGGCTGGCGACACGTTTCCACATCCGTCTGGAGATTGCAACAAATACCTAGTATGTGCAAGTGGTTCTCTACTAGACCAGAATTGTATCCGCGACCAGAACTTTGATCCTAATACCCATGACTGCGTTTGGCCCTGGCAGTACGCTTGCCCTACGATCACCACTACAACCACTACCACGGCACCGTATACAGGGACAGGTAGCACCACTCCTCGGACAGTCATTCCTACTACCCCAATGGTCACTTCAACAACAACATGTACAGATGGACAATACTACGTTCATCCGTCCGGAGACTGTAACCGATACCTTTCTTGTGCGAATAGCATACTTTTAGAACAGTCATGTGGAGCAGGCCTCTTTTTCCGCCCAGATGATAATAGTTGCGTTTGGCCTAGCGATTACACTTGCCCTACGACCACCACTACCACGGCGCCGTATACAGGGACAGGTAGCACCACTCCAGTAGTCACGTCGACCACAAAATGCACACATGGACAGAGCTACGTACATCCGTCCGGAGATTGTACCCGGTATCTTACATGTTCAAACTATATGCTTGTAGAAAAGTCATGTATAGTGGGTCTCAACTTCAGTCCAGACGATGGTAACTGCGTTTGGCCCAGCCAGTACGCTTGCCCTACGCCCACCACTACAACCTCTACCACGGCGCCGTATACAGGGACAGGTAGCACCACTCCAGGAGTCACGTCGACCACAACATGCACACATGGCAATAAGTACGTGCATTCGTCTGGAGATTGTAACCGATATCTTTCTTGTGCGAACGGCATACTTTTAGAACAGTCCTGCTTGACAGGCCTGTTTTTCAGTCCAGATGATAATAGCTGCGTTTGGCCAAGCGATTACACTTGCCCCACCACCACTGCTACAACCACAACCACGGCGCCATACAAAGGGACAGCTACTCCAACTACCCCAGGAGTCAGGTCAACAACAACATGCACAAATGGACAGAACTACGTACATCCGTCCGGAGACTGTACCATATACCTTACATGCTCGAACGGTATGCTTGTAGAAACGTCTTGTACAGCGGGTCTCAACTTTAGTCCAATTGATGGTAACTGCGTTTGGGCCAATCAGTACGCTTGTCCTACGACCACCCCAACAACCTCAACCATGGCGCCGTATACAGGGCCAGGGACGTCTTCTACCCCAGCAGTCACGTCGACAACAACATGCAACCATGGACAGAGCTACGTGCATCCGTCCGGAGACTGCACCCGCTATCTTACATGTTCGAACGGTATACTATTAGACGACTCATGTACAGAAGGCCTCAATTACAGTCCAGATGAAAATTACTGCGTTTGGCCCAGCCAGTACGCTTGTCCTACGACCACCAGTTCAACCACTAAAGCGATTTCGTATACAGAAACAGGTACCACAACAACCGCTTCCACGGCTCCGTATACATGGACAGACACCGTGCCAACCACTACAACCACTACCACAGCACCGTATACAGGGACAGGTAGCACCACTCCTCGGACAGTTACTCCTACTACACCAGGAGTCACGTCCACAACGACATGCACACGCGACGGACAGAACTACGTGCATCCGTATGGCGACTGTAACCGCTATCTTACATGCTCGAAAGGCATGATTTTAGAAAAATCATGTTCGACAGGTCTGAATTTCAATCCATACGAAAATATCTGTGTTTTGCCCAGCCAGTACGCTTGCCTTACGATTACTACACCAATAACCTCATCCGCCGCTCACTTTCAACATTATCTTGGTTTGTTTACGCCATTATTGTTCTGCCTGCTGCAAATAAAAATTTGAGTGTAACCACATTAATATTAACTGATTAACCCAAGCGAAAGGATAAGTAAATGACAAACACAAATATAGTGTTCGAAATTTGGCCGGTAGCGGCTGCTTTTATTGAAAGGTCCCTCTAATAGAAAAAAATACAAAATTGTTACTGATATGTTAGGCTAGATATCAGTAGAAAGTAATTTGAAAATTTCTAAAAGATAAAACGAAATTGTAATATTGTTAAAAAACAATGCATTCAAAAGGTATCTACAACAACAGTTCGATAATGTATTTTAGTAAATATCTAATTCTTTTGAAACAATCAATTTTATCTGTATATATCTTTTTATATATATAGCACAGAACACACGATGTTTGAAGTAACAATCGGTAAATACTAGAAAATGATCTGAGACGTCAGGGATTTCTACGCGCTGATAATGTCGTCTTGGAGGGCTGTCCCCCGCCCCCGAGCTTAAAAGCTTTCAAAACAATTCAAGGGAAAATACGCCTAAAGAGACAGCTCAAATAACTCAAATGCTTGTTTTAATCTTGTAAATAACAAAATTATTACCAGTGCTCAAAAATATTTTTATGTTATTTGAAATGTGACAGTTGTGCAAAGAAAAGCAATGTTGAGTAAATTGTGCCGGAGAGAGAGAGAGAGAGAGAGAGCAAAATATAACTATAGAGGTTACTCGTGCTATGTTTTACTGGACCTCGGGTTTGTTTAAAGAGTGTATTTATGTGCCCTCTTCCAGCCACATGAACTGGCTGACGAAGGCAGAAGACTCTTAAAATTGGTATAAAAAGTATACATGTACAGTATCTCCTCTGGACATTGCATACACTCTTAAAAATAACTCGGTTCAGCGTACACGTTTATGGAGTTTTCAACTACTAGTATTGATAATTAGTAATGCAGCTAAATTTGAACGATAGACAGTGATTAAATGTTTTTTATATTTCACCTTCATCCAAGAAGGCCACTGGGGAGGAATCAATAGACCCTTAATGTAAACAAAATGTGAACGATCTAGTGACTTTTTATGTAAAAACACAGGAAAGACCAAACAAGGCATTCCTTTCACAACACAATAACCTCAGAGACAAGTATTGAGGTTGAACACTCTTCTGTGTGCCCTGCGTAGCATGGGTTCAAACTTGCTGAGCGTAGAATTCAACTAGAATAAGCTTACTGGTTCACTTTAGGTGTTTTTCTTTTTTTAATGACAGCTGCCTGTATATAGTAAAAGTAAAACGTATGTAATTTAGTATACGACGCAGTATTAGCAATTTAAAGGTGGTTATAAAAAAAGGAAACTCCAATATAGAATTGGTATCTTGGGCGGGCTTGGTATGGCTTTGAAGGGACATTGGCTGGTATATGTGACACGGCTGGTCACAATGTCGACCTTCGCAGGTAAGTTTACAATTTGTGATCGAGTCGTATACAAAACGGAAACTATCACCAAAAGGATATCGTATCTTTGCCCTGAATTCGGGTCCGTGGGCGGGGAAGGAGAGTGGGAGGGGGGTAGAGGGTGGGGGCTTAGGAAGGTCCTCACTTCTGGTTGGAAAAATATCCGCTCTAAACCAAAAGTCAATGGTTCTAAGCCAGTACTTAAACACACGTAGATTTTACGGTAAAAAGGTCCACCTTTTCAGCCCCCCCCCCCCCCCCCCCAAAATTGAAAATACTATCAATAGCTTGTGCGTTATATTAAACATATATATTTGATTATAAAGACATCGGTGGAAACATTTCCCATGGTTTCTTATGAAAGCATGCGCGTATTTTAATTTCAGCTCCCATATCGATAATTGAAAATATTACTATTTGGATGTCAAGAATAAAGGACAAATAGCCCCTAGAATTCATCATATATCATGCTAAAATGTTTCCAATAAAATGCACATTTTCATTTCTGCATAATAGGCTTATCTTTATTATAATACTCCAGTTACAGATCATCAGACGGGAATATTTATCGTAATTTCCTGTCCTCACAATGCAACAGTCTCATTTTTGCAGCATATGGTAAACTCAAATTAACAAAATCTGACTGTCAAACTCTTACAATTTTCCTCTGTTAAAAGCTATGCCAATGATAGGCTAGTGATAGGCCTAATTACCAAATGTTAAATCTATCTTTTGGTAAAACTGGAGACTTTAACAGCTCTTTATATTGAGCGGCAACAGCAAAAGTTGGGTCCACAGCCCGTCCCATGACAGGAGTTGTAGCGGTGTATTTTCAAACCAAGTTTGGCGGTGTCCATTGTAGTATCTTCAGATAGTTGCGGTCTCACCATATACACATGGAGAGCGTTAAAGCATTGCAATCTGGAAAATAAACCTACACGTTTAATGTTGTGTAACGTTAGTAAGTGACAGCATGCAGCGAATAAGAGCGGGCAGTGTCTTAAGTTGATTGACATGCTCTTATGGTATTTATACAACTGCGCTTAGTGTAAACGGAGAGAAGGCCGCTAGAGATTGCATGAGGTAGGAATAGAAATGAAGGAAGCGGCGCGGGTAATAACTGGACAGTAGGTCAATAAATAATAAGAAAGATAATATCTGAGTTGTATTTGCTACCTCGCGTAACATGAAGAAGACAAACCAATAACTTCGTCACAGTTGTAGAGATACCATTAAATCAGTATTGTGAAAAGTGGGGAGAAAGTGAAGGACCCCACGAGGTGATAACAATAAATTAAAACCCGAAAAAAAGACTGAAAAATTGTCAAAACATCTCAAAAGTGATGTGAGATATAATTGCATCTCTTCTGCACAGAGAGGGTATGGAACACATTATATCTGTTGCGGAAAATACATGTAGGCCTAGTGTCAACCATAGGAAATTCTAAAGGTAAAGGACGTAACGCTTTTAAGTTGGATAAAAACAGTTATGAAATAAAAAAAAGTATTAAGGGTAAATTCCGGAGGCAAAATAATCATCTATGAAACACAACCGACTCCATTATATCTAAAATTGCACGGGCGATTCTTACCCTCTACTGCTGATATGGTCATCTTGTTCAGAGAGGGCGCTGCTTCCACAGATATCTGCGCAAGTTGGCCCGTCGCTAATGCACGTCCTGCGCACTGCATACACCCATCCACTCCGGCCACTCAGAGCAGTGCAAGTTGACTGGGCGAGTTCGTCCCGGTAGTTGTATGTAACCTGGTACTGGGTTGTGTTGCAGGTTTCTACACAAAAAGAGAGAAGTTGTCAACGTGTTTGCATGCTGATAAACATATCTCGATTTAAATTCAAAAGATGATGCATTCAGAGATTGTTTGCTGGATCTTGACGCATTGCAAGGCAGGCACCACAAGGCAGGCACCACCATGAAGGCACCACCATGCAGGCACCACCAGGCGGGCACCACCATGCAGGCACCACCAGGCGGGCACCACCATGCAGGCACCACCAGCCGGGCACCACCATGCAGGCACCACCAGGCGGGCACCACCAGCCGGGCACCACCATGCAGGCACCACTAGGCAGGCACCACCATGCAGGCACCACCAGGCGGGCACCACCCCTACAGCATTACATTACTGGGGACCGTCTGTCCAATGTTCATATGTTCAACTTAAATGTGATGGCTGTTGAAATTCAGTCTTTACACATTTTTCACGATATTATGAAAAATTGATAGAGAAATTGATTGATATTCCAGCTAAATAAATAAATAACCGACCTCAAAATGTCTAATCTAAAAATTTTAAGAACAAACTAGAACAAAATAACAAAAATTAAACAATAACACTGGATTTCCCAAAGTATTCATTCCGTTTCTTTTTTTTTGCTATATCGCAACCAAACATTTTAAAGCATTTGTATAATATATAGCTAATATCACTATAACTTGGATTCAGCTTACAGCAGTGCAGAATCTATTAAAACCAGTGTTAACGGCAGTTATATATACGAGTAAATCAGCACTGTAATATCCTCATTTACACTATATGATTTGATTTGAAAAGTGAAAATTAAACTCATTTCCAATGAAACTATCGTTTTAAGTAAAACGATATAACTCCACGGGGACTCTCGCTGAATGCAGCCAGATAAACAAATTAACACGCCGCCTCTTGGCGTTGAGTTATATCCAGAAAAGCTGGTGATTGTACGAATACGTTGGAAATAAGAGGTTTGTAGATCGAATTTATCTTTGGGAAAAAACCCAGAGAATCACGCTCTTACATGTAACTATATCCAAACCTTTGACACAACTCAATCAATGTACAAAAAAAAGTCCACAATCATAGTGCCGATAGTGATTGTTACATATATTGTATAAGTTATTGGATTTTATTGTTAAAAAATTAAAGTATGTGACAGTAAAAAAATATCTGACTGCAGAAAAAATACACGTGTTTTGGTTCCGCTCACAGTGTGCACTGTAGTGTTCACAAAACGCCTCGGTCCGATATTAAACAGAAACCATTATCCTTACTCCATGTTAACATAGAGGGGGTTATCAAAAAGGGTGTTTTGAGGCCTAGTTAAGAGGCCTAGGGGCTAGCAAGAGCGGGAGAAAGAGGGGGCTTTAGAGGCATCCTAGAAACAGAAAAAAAAATCCTCCAGCTGTGCATAAAAGTGTGGCAAAAAGGGGTGGGGAATGCATAAGGCTTCGTTCACANCTCCCCCCCACCCCCAACTGAAATTACTATCAATAGCTTGTGCGTTATACTAAACATATATGTTTGATAATAGAGACTTCGGTGGAAACATATCCCATGGGTTCTTATGAATGCATGCGCGTATTTTAATTTCAGCTCCCATATCGATAATTGAAAGTATTACTATTTGGATGTCAAGAACAAAGGACAAGTAGCCCCTAGAATTCATCATATATCATGTTTTGTAAATCTAGCTAAAATGTTTCCAATAAAATGCACATTTTCATTTCTGCTATAATAGCCTTATATTTATTATAATACTCCAGTTACATCTTTCCTGTCCTCATAATGCAACAGTCTCACTTTTGCAGTATATGGTAAAGTCAAATTAACAAAATTTAACTGTCAAACTTTTACAATTTTTCCTCTGTTAAAAGCTATGTCAATGATACATGAAGGCTGATGATAGGCCTCTTTACCAAATTTATTAGTACCAATCAGTCATTTTTTTTATTACTCTGTCTGATGTTAAAACTGGTGACTTTATTTTGAGCGGCAACAGCAAAAGTTGGGTCCACAGCTCTTCCCATCACAGGAGTTGTAGCGGAATATTTTCAGACCGAGTTTGGCAATGTCTTTTCTAGTATCTTCAGATAGTTGGGGTCTCCCTCCATACACATGGAGAGCGTTAAAGCATTCCAGTCTGAAAAAATCCATTAATTAGTATTGTGATTAATGGGAGGAAAGTGATGCCCACGAGTTGATAGCAATGAAATAAAAACTAATAAAGAATGAAAAATTAAAGGATTAAACATCTCAGTATTGATATATACGAGATATATACGAAATTTGCATCTCTTCTGCACAGGAGGTATGGGACATATTATATATACATGTATATTACGGATCTATCTAATGTAGCGTAAATGCAGTGTCAACCATAGGAAATTGTAAAGGTAAAGGTCGTTATGCTTTTAAGTTGGATAAAGAACAGTTATGAAATGAAAAAAAATCTTAAGGGTAAATTTTGGAGACAAAATAATCATCTGTGCAACACAACCGAACACATTATATCTAACAGTGAATGGGCAATTCTTACCCTCTACTGCTGACTTGGCTATCTTGGGCAGAGAGGGCTCTGCGTCTACAGATTTGTGCGCAAGTTGGCCCGTCGCCATCGCACGTCCTGCGCACTGCATACACCCATCCTCTCCGGCCACTCATAGCAGTGCAAGTTGACTGGGCGAGTTCGTCCCGGTAGTTGTATGTAACCTGGTACTGGGATGTGCTGCAGGTTTCTACACAAAAAGAGAGAAGTTGTCAACGTGTTTGCATGCTAATAAACATATCTCGATTTAAATTCAAAAGATGATGCATTCAGAGATTGTTTGCGGGATCTTGACGCATTGCAAGGCAGGCACCACAAGGCAGGCACCACCATGAAGGCACCACCAGGCGGGCACCACCATGCAGGCACCACCAGGCGGGCACCACCCCTACAGCATTACGTTACTGGGGACCGTCTGGTCAATGTTCATATGTCCCACTTAAATGTGATGGCTGTTAAAATTCAGTCTTTACACATTTTTCACGATATTATGAAAAGATAAAAAAATTGACTAATATTCCAGCTAAATAAATAAATAAATAACCGACCTCAAAATGTCTAATCTCTAATTATAAGAACAAACTAGAACAAAATAACCAAAACTAAACAATAACACTGGACTTCCCAAAGCTTTCATTCCGTTTCTTTTTTGCTATATCGCAACCAAACATTTTATAGCATTTGTATATTATATAGCTAATATCACTATAACTTGGATTCAGCTTACAGCAGTGCAGAATCTATTAAAACCAGTGTTAACGCCAGTTATATATACGAGTAATACTGTAATATCCTCATTTATATAATATGATTTGATTTGAAAAGAGCAAATTACAGGGCTCATTTCCAATGAAACTATCGTTTTAAGTAAAACGATATAACTCCACGGGGACTCTCGCTGAATGTAGCCAGATGAACAAATTAACACCCCGCCTCTTGGCGTTGAGTTATATCCAGAAAAGCTGGTGATTGTACGAGTATGTTGAAAATAAGAGGTTTGTAAATCGAATTTATCTTTGGGAAAAACCCCACAGAATCACGCTCTTACATGTAACTATATCCAAACCTTTGACACAACTCAATCAATGTACAAAAAAGTCCACAATCATAGTGCTGATAGTGATTGTTAACATAAATTGTATAAGTTATTGGATTTTATTGTTAAAAAATTAAAGTATGTGACAGTAAAAATATATCTGACTGCAGAAAAAATACACGTGTTTTGGTTCCGCTCACAGTGTGCACTGTAGTGTTCACAAAACGCTTCGGTCCGATATTCAACAGAAACCATTATCCTTACTCCATGTTAACATAGAGGGGGTTATCAAAAGGGGTGTTTTGAGACCTAGTTAAGAGGCCTACGGGCTAGCAAGAGCGGGAGAAAGAGGGGGCTTTAGAGGCATCCTAGAAACAGAAAAAAGTCCTCCAGCTGTGCATAAAAGTGTGGCAAAAAGGGTGGGGAATGCATAAGACTCGTTGAGCAATACTTTGACGGAATACAATGTCTTTCAACTCAATTCAATTCAATTTTGACTGCTGCTCTTGCTGAATTGTAAAAAAGAAAAAACTTCATCTTATTTTCTTTGTGCTTTTGCTCACAATGCAGAAAAATTGAAATATCTCGGCACCGTATACAGGGACAGGGACACCTACAGACGCCTACTAAAGGCCGGGCTCCAGTAACTTAAACCAAATAAATTAATAGAAAAAAACACAAAATTGTTAGGCTGGATATCAGTAGAGAGTAATTTTAAAATTTCTAGAAGAATAAACGAAATTGTAATATTGTTAAAAACGATGCATTCAAAAGGTTTCTACATAAACAGCAGTTTGATATAGTGTTTTAGTAAATATCTAATTTCTATGAAACAATCAATTAATTTTTTCGCCTAATAGATGGCAGCACAGGATACTCTTAGCATTCTATATGTTTGACCAGCTTATGGTAACACACGTGATTCTTGGATCTATGTCAATGTTAATGTGAGAAATAAATGCCGAAAAAGAGAGATTTTAGTTGTTTTAATTTAAATTAGGCACAATTATATAATAAATGAAAAAAATACAGAGAGAGAAATTGTTTAAATAGCGCCATGCGAGTACACGTATTATAGTATGCGTTTCTCCCATCTGCCTGTATGGCACAGTGTAGACGAGCCGGCGATCACATGCAAAAGACACTGAAAAAACTGTACAGTGACTATACTCTTATTGAAAACTCGGTGCGCGTTCATGAGTTTTTAGTAGCATTGATAATTAGTAAAACAGCTAAAAGCGATCGATACACAATGAATTGAAATGTTTTTCTCTTTCACTTTCATTATGAAAGAAAACTGAGGAAGAATCAATAAAGCCCTATCGTAATTACCTGCGAAATACCTACAATGTAGTATAGCTCTATGCAAAAGCATAATTTGTGATCTGCTTTTAACACAAGGAACATGATCACAAACACGACGGCTGATGCGATCGAACTCGTCGGTCAAAGTTAAGCACGAATCACATCTACTTCGATACTAGACGCCTATTCAGAATAAATTTGAGACGTGCCAGCGGAATCCTGTAGTAAAAAGACTGAATATCCAAAAGAAGCTTTTGGGTTACACCAGCCAAGCGGAGAAGTGCAGTTGCACATTATGTTATATGATCTGTGAAACGTTCGTTCAGACGTGTTGAGAATAGAATTTAACTAAAATAAGTCTCCTGGTGGAAGATGTGCTTCTTATAATGAATTCATGGCGATGAAAAGTAAAATATATGAAAGACATCATTATGATCTATAGTAGCGTAATGTTTAAACAAAAAAGTAAACCTCATTATGGAAAAGGCGACTAGGAAGGCCTAGGGCATGGCTTTAAAGGGACTTTGGCTTTTAAATGTAGCATGGCTAACCACAGTATTGTCTTTGGCAGGTAAGTGTTTGATCTACCAATCGAACTGACACATTCATCAAAAAGATATGATTTTTTTCCTGACCCTTTGTGTAATTTTTAATACATATGCAATTACATAGATAGAGAAGGGAAACATTTCCCATGCAAGTATTTTTTTATTTTTGTTACCGCATAGAACTATGAAAAATAAATAGGGCATTCGGTTAAATGGCATATCGGACATCCTGTTTTGTAAATCTGCCTTTAACTATTTTTATTGGATTGCTTAATAGGATCTATGTTATTACCGAATGAGGCTTATTTAAATATTCAATTTAGAAGTCAACAGACTGGAATATTTATTGTTATTTCCTGTCCTTATGACAATCCTACTTTTGAAGTATACGGTAACCTCATTAAATAAAACCGACGACTTTTTATTTGATTTTTATCTTTGTTTTTTATTTTGAAAGGCAACAGCAGAAGTTTGGTCCACAGAGCCCCCCCTCCCTTGCCGGATGTCGTATGGTTGAAATTGTAGTTTCAGTTTTGCACACAGTGCCAATGTATTTCAACCATGCTCGTGCTTTCTTCCTTTACCCTGTACTGGTGCTCTTTAGGGGTTAATTATTGAAATATCATGTAATCGCAATTTTCACCTGGCATTTCGTCATTAAGAAAGAAAAATAAAGGTATATGACGTCTTGATCGAAATGAGGGACGTGATGTGATTGGTTAAGAAGATTTTTTTAAATGCCACTGATCATGGATCATGGATTTTTTTTTTCAAACCCCATTTTTATTTTATTTATTTATTTATTTTTGGAATAACGCCTATAAGTCGAAAAAAATTACTTCAATGAATATCTATTTTCTTTAATTCAGCTGCAAACCACAAAACACTTACAACGCCATGCACGGTTGGCGATTCATTTCCACATCCGTCTGGAGATTGCAACAAATACAAAGTTTGTGCGAGTGGTTCTCTACTAGACCAGAATTGTAACACCGGTCTAAACTTTGATCCTAATACCCATGGCTGCGTTTGGCCCTGGGAGTACGCTTGCCCTGCGACTACCACTACAACTACTACCACGGCACCGTATACAGGGACAGGTAGCACCACTTCTCGGACAGTTACTCCTACTACACCAGGAGTCACGTCCACAACAACGTGCACACATGGACAGAACTACGTGCATCCGTCCGGAAACTGTACCCTATATCTTACATGCTCGAATGGTATACTTTTAGAAATGATATGTGCAGCAGGTCTGAACTTCAGTCCAGATGACGATACCTGCGTTTGGTCTTACCAGTACGCCTGTCCTTCCACTACTACTACTGCCATTACCACGGCTGGATCATATACTGGGAAGAAAAGTACTGGATCGCTTGCAACAACAGCCGAATCACCAACAACCACAATTAAAGCATCAACAATCGCAAGTGAACTTCCAACAACCTCAACAGAATCACAAGCAACCTCAACTGAATCGCCAACAACTATAACTAAATCACCAACAACCACAACTGAATCACCAACAACCTCAACAGAATCACAAGCAACCTCAACTAAATCACCAACAACCACAACTGAATCACCAACAACCACATCTGAATCACCAACAACCACAACTGAATCACCAACAACCACCACATCTGAATCACCAACAGCCACAACTGAATCACCAACAACCTCAACTAAATCACCAACAACCACAACTGAATCACCAACAACCACATCTGAATCACCAACAACCACAACTGAATCACGAACAACCACAGCTGAATCACCAACAACCTCAAAAGAATCACAAGCAATCCCAACTGAATCGCCAACAACTACAACTAAATCACCAACAACCACAACTGAATCACCAACAACCACAACTGAAGTAACAACAACCACATTTGAATTACCAGCAACCTCAACTGAAACACCAATAACCACTACAGAATCACCAGGAACCTCAACAGAATCACCAACAACTACAACTAAGTCACCAACAACCACAACTGAATCACCAACAACCACAACTGAAGTACCACCAACCACAACTGATTCACCAACAACCACAAATGAATTATTTAAAACCACAGCTGGATCACCAACAACCACTACTAAATCACCAACAACTACTGCTAAATCACCAACAACCATATCTGAATTACAAACAACTTCAAGTAAATCTCAAACAAGCACAGCTGAATCGCGTACAACCCCGATTAAATCACCAACAACCAGAACTGAATCACCAACAATAGGCCTACCAACTGAAACCACGATAATCACAACTGAATCAATAACGACATCAAGTGTATCACCTTCAACCCCATGGCTATCATCCCCATCCATTTTGGAGCCACCCATAAACACAAAAGCTACCGCTACAACCACAACTGAATCACCAACGACCATGACAGAATCACAAACGACTGTAATTGAATCAATAAAAACTAGGACTATATCATCAACAACCACAACAGAGCCTCCAATTATCTCCACTGGCTCACTTTCAAAATTCTCTTGGTTTCTTTACACCATTACTGTTTTACTTGAGGTACTGAAACAATGCCTTTGACGAAGTGCCATTATGCTGTGCTCTGCAGGGTTTAAGATAAAGTCTACCAGGCAATATTTTTGACTAACTGGCAACTTATTTATCAGCCATCATACGTGTATTTACGAAAATGGGCAAGGGCCTATGGAAGAAGTTTTCCGTAGTCTCTGTTGGAAAAAAATATGATAAAGCAGAGTTATTCTTTACTTAGACACTAAATAGCAGCGGTCAAACGACGTTTCGGTCCTCCAGTGATGGACCTTGGTTGCTACCTGTTTCCGAAGAAATGTTTGAAAGCACTTTTTCAATTTTTCCAATCATATGAAAATGTTAAAAAATAATAGTTAATTGGCTTTTTATCTTTATCTTGTTTGTAATACATTTTTATCCAAGTATATCATTAATTCTTTCCTTGCACTATTTAAGACTTTGAAAATAAAATGTGTCAGCTTCTTGAGTAATGATTCTTGTGCTTCTTCGTAAAATTGAAGGCAGACAATACATAGGCAAACGAACTAGTCGGGACCTATGTAACGAAACTGAGGGTCCGTGTAACAGAAAGTCCGCCCTCCATATAGTTATAATGGTTAGGGTTAGTCTGACCTATGTGGGTCAAAATCTAGGGCGAGGCTCACCGGTACAAATGAATGGGAAGCGGACTCTCTGTTTTGGGGGACTCTCTGTCACGTTACACCGGCGGGGTGACGGCAGAAATATGCACAGCAAGTGAATAGGCAAAGAAATATCCTTGAATATTAGGGGCGGATCCCTGACATTTTTTCTGACAGTCTTACAAATCGCGATACATATACATTCACTTGCATATATATGAAGAAAATATCCTTGAAACAAAATCGTTACCGAATTATTTGTAAGGGTGGATAAAATTAAAAAGTTATTCCAAAAATTAAAATGAATCAACAATATGTCAAAAAAAAAAAAAAAAAATCACAAAGTATCTAAATGTATAGCAATTTGATAGGTTTTAGCTAAAATCTGAAAGAAAACATCTAATTCATGTAAATTGTGCAATCTTTTATCTGAAAGGCGGCAGCACAAGTCGACCCTGCATTTTATTTGTCTAGTAGGTGGGAGCACATGGGTAATTTTTGTTTGCAGATTTACAGAAGAGAAAGAAAACATAAGAAAAAGGGAGTCATCGCTTGCTGAAGACATCTTGAATTTGCCTCCTAAAAGGGCCCTTAATGAAGAATGACCTTTAACAGAAAAATAGTATCCATTTCATTTTTTCATCAGATATCATAGCAATTTTTCATTTAACCCAAAAATGCCTTATTTCAATGCAAATATAAAAATACATATATACAAACATGCAGAGAGACAGAGAGAGAGAGAGAGCTATAAAATTTTTACATAACAGAAAAATACGCCCTTTATACTTTACAGAAATTGTGAAGAAAGAAAGAAATACATAAACGTGGACAGAAAGAGACAGGGGTGCATACTAAAAGTATTTCAAATAACTGGTTCTCAGACTTGTTTGCATAGCAACAAACGAGTTTATCAAATAATGCCATATTAGCTCTCCCTGCGGCCTGCAATACATGGTGAAAGGCGGAGGCTCTTAACAAATCTCACCCGCTGTGTACAGTGCCTTACCATTTCTGAATCTCAGTACACGCTCACAATGTTTTTAATTGTATTGATAAATAGTTAAGGTCGATACACAATGGATAGAAAAGGGCTATGTGAATTGTTTTCTTTCACCGCCTTCCTGGAAGACCGCCGGGAAGAATCAATAGACCCTTATCGTTAATTAAATGTGAAAAAATCTAGTAACTCACTGCTAAGGCATAATCAAAGACCTGCTTTTAACATATGCATGCGAGTCATTATGATCACGTACACAATCGAAAAAGAAGTTTAGGATTTAACATAAATCATACTAGACGCCTATTCAGAATAAAAATGGAACGTTGATGTTTGTTTTACTATTGTGAGGGATCCAGTTGCAAATAGAAAGAAAACCAAACAAAGCATTGGTTTGCATCACAATAGCCAAACGGAGAATCGAGGTCGTGCATTGTGCTGTATGCCCTGTGCAGCGTTGGTACAGACGTGTTGAGAGCAGCAGTCAACTAAATAAGCTTCCTGATGGGTGACGAGCGTCTTTAATGGCTGCCTAACGATGAGCAGTAAAATACACGAATTAAAAAAGATAAGATGAAGGATGTAGAATTAGCTTCTTTTGTGAAAGAAGCGTAATTTGAAAACACAAAAAGGCAACTCCAATTATGGAATAGGCGTCCAGGACGGCCCGTGACATGGCTTTGAAGGGAGATTGGATTCAACTGTTAACATGGCTGGCTTCAGTGTTGACCTTGGCAGGTAAGTGATTCATACGGTCTCGTGTAGAACTTCAACAATCAGCAAATGATGATATCACATCTTTGCCCTGAACGGGGGTGGGGGTGGGGAGGGGGGAGACTCTCAGGGGTTGGAGCCACCCCTTCGGCTGGGAAAGGGTTCACTCATAGTCAAATTTTGCTCTTATCCTATTCCAGTACTGAGACAAACGCAAGATTCGCGGTGAAATGGTAAACTTTTCTGAAGAAGAACTTATTGTGAAATTGTTCTTTCAAACATAAACGGGAGGAAGCAATCAGAAAGGATGATATCGCACTTTTTGTCCTGAACGGGGGGAAGGGAAGACTCGGGGGATGGAACCACCCCTTCGGCTGGGAAAAGGTCCGTTCATAGTCAAATTTTGCTCTTATCCTGCGCCAGTACTGAGACAAACGCACGATTCGCGGTGAAATGGTTAACTTTTCTGACGAAAAACCAATTCTGAAATTGTTGTTTTTAAACACATACGAAAAAAAAAACAAATTTCCTGTAGCATTCATACATGTCCCTACTTTCATTTTAGCTTCGTCATAAGGACAAATGTAATTTTTGGTTGTAGTAAGTAAAAGAATACTTGCCCTGATGGCACATCGCGCATCTTTTTATGTAAATATTATCAGAATTATTTTAATGGATTGCTAATTTTAACCTTGTTATAATTGACTGATATCCCATTTACAAGCCATCGAGCCAATGAAATGTTTATTGTAATTTTCTGTTCTCATAACGAGGTACGCTTACTTTTGTTGCGTAAGGTAAGCTGATTTAAACAAAATTTGCCTGTCGAAATTTCATCTGTGAATAGCAATGTCAATAATTAGCCTAACTGCCAAATTTATAATACTGCTGCATAAGGTAACCTCATTTAAACTAAATTTGACGGTCAATTTTTCCTTGTAAGCAGCAATGTCAATAATAAGCCTAACTGCCAAGTTTATCATACACATTATACACATTTTACAGTTGTTTTAATTTTTAAATAATTGAATTTGAACAAACTTGCCAAAACCTAACAATACATTTCATGTTGTACTGCATTACTTGTATCTTAGGTCACTGCAAGTTAACCTTTTACAGCCTATGTAAAGTGTATAAAATAAATAAATAAAATATATTTTACCTCCCACTGCTTCATCACAAATCAGCAACCCCATAAGGGCAGTGCAAGCCACATAGAGAAGCACGACGTTCAGTACTTTGCCCATCATCGGATCCAAACAAAAATAGCAATAACTGAATTCAGCTCACAGCACTGCAGAATCCGCTTATGCCGTGAACCAACGTTCGAAGACAGTCATATATAGTTTGGTATTCTTATTTCCTTGTTTATACAATCTTATCTGAAAAGAGTTATTCTGGGGAATCTGATTTACTCAAACCACAGACTCACGATTTTAACTGATTTAGTATTTGTGCCCTGGACAGGACACGAACATAATGCACAATAAAACTAACCAATGATAGTGCTGCTAGTGATTTTAAACAATATTGTTTACTTTATTTATTTATTTATTTCTACAAATTAAAATGTGACACACAATAAAGATATCTCATCCCGATTTTTTTAAAATTAAACTTAAAATGCACAGGCTTAGCTGGGGTCTTGCTCACACCGCTGCAGATTCTACTAACCGCCACGAGTTAATGTTAAACGCCAGTCATGCATGCAACGTTATTCTTATTTCAATATTTACACAAAATTAATTTGGGCTGATAAGAGTAAATAACTGGGCGGGCAATTAATTTATTTTAGGAAATAAAAACCGCAGTGTTAGTGTGCAAATGACCTTTTCAACTTCACGTATACAATTTAGTTCTGCCAGTAATTGTAAACATATTTTTTTATATTTATTAATTTAAATGAAAAAATAACCATAACATCTTCAAAAATATAAATAAATATATAATTAAATAAATAAATAAATAAATAAGCATTAATGCTCCAGAAAACCAATTGCACAGTATATTAGACAACTAACTCTTGTGTGCTTACTTGGTAGGTTAGATAAAATGTAAGGTGGAGAAACAAAAATGGCGTTTAAATAGGTTGACTGTGTATCTCACACCGTGCCCAGGACCTCACGTTGAACAGACTTTGGTTAATTGTTTTTTCAATTATTTTCATGATTTAGTTATTAGTATCTTTAGCCAAAGCAGGAAATTTTAACAGGGCAACAATATGTTTGCTTCTTTTGAAGAAAGCGGTAGAATACAATTAAAAGCCTAGATTACATTTACACGGGCGCCGTGCGATGAAATTGTCAGTGCGATTTTTTTTAATCGCAAGGAGCTACGGGCTACGCCGAGTATGTCTACATTACGTGGCCACCTCCGCTCAGACGCCGAACGAAAAGGGTATCACGGGCAGTATACGTGCACCGTACGGGCATCGCATTTTAAATGTAATCTAGGCTTAATTGAAGTAAAACAAACGACATGGTCACATCGGATATCCCGTTTTCCTGTTTTGTAAATCTACCAAGGTAGGGGTAATATTTACTGTATTGATCTTAATTTCATATAACCAATCACAAATAATTGTCTGAATGCCCCGTTCACATATAATTAAGGTAGATAATTCCGTTTCAATTCGGTGACATTATAGTTTATTAAGGTATATTTGTCTTACATATCAAACACAACGAAACACGCTCTTAACATAGTGGGGGAAGTTTTCATAAGCTGTATCAAAAATTGTTACTGGGAACGCAAAATGAATGTCGTTTTTAGTAAAGCCGGATTAATATACCGTCTAATACCTATACTAAACAAAATCTGCACAACATTTTTCGCGGGACACGGAAAAGTAAATTAAATAAAATAAAACCAGACAGTAAACACCGGCAGGCATTGTCAATGTCGCCATTTTGTTCATTTAGATCCAATATTCATTTTAAGCGACAGGTACATCTTCAAGTTGAGTTATGCTGTAACTGCTTCTGCATCTTTGGAGACTTTTGGCATCAAACCTCTTCACGCAGCACTTTAAAACTCTCCGGCATGAAGAACAAAATCTACCTGAGATTTTATCATCTTTGGAATAATAACAAATCCAATACATTTTGTAACAATAAAAATCAGTCGTTATACAAGTAAAGGAAATATTAAACGCATTGAACTAAATTCTAATTTTGGGAAAAACAAAGCAACCTTTCGTAACATCAGATTGTTTTCAAAACAGTGGTAAATGTTGAACTTCAACAACTTTTATGAAAGACACGTTGCCTTTCCCCAGCTATTTATAGTTTGCGGTATTGTACATATTTAAGTTCGGGTGTCCGAACTATCTTTAGCTATATATGTTACTGTTTTTATATAAAACGGTGTAGTTATTTGTCTTTGACCCTGATTGTACCATGTTTGTTAAGGCGAATATCAATTTGACGGTCTGAATCACACTAAAACATGAAAAACGACAGCATATGATAATATTTAACTAATAGTCTATGAGCCAAAACGAAGTGAATTTTATATAGTAAGTCCAACACAAATACCTGACCTCTAGTTTTTGCTTCTTCCTTTCTCCTCTTAACCCCCTTTTTTCCGGCGATACACCTTAAGTAACCTATATTTGATTCTAACAGACATCTACTCATATTTAGGTATATCAACCCGCAAGCATACACATGATATATTTAAGGAAAACACGCCTTTAACTTGCAAGTATAACAAAGGGATGTTTTGTAGTTCTATACTCCAAACGGCACTACGATATTTTATTTTGATATCTATTGCTTGTCTTGCATTACTAGAAAACGTACGATATAATGGTCCTTTATTTCAGTGGCCCTTCAAACTACCCCAGGAGTCACGTCGACAACAACATGTACAAGCGGACAATACTACGCGCATCCGTCCGGAGATTGTAACCGATACCTTTCTTGTGCCAACGGTATACTTTTTGAACAGTCCTGTGGGGCAGGCCTCATTTTCCGTCCAGCTGACGGAAGTTGCGTTTGGCCTAGCGATTACGCCTGCCCCACGACCACCACTACAACCACTACCACAGCACCGTATACAGGGACAGGTAGCACCACTCTTCTGACAGTTATTCCTACTACACCAGGAGTCACGCCCACAACAACATGCACACATGGACAGAACTACGTACATCCGTCCGGAGACTGCACCATTTATCTTAGATGCTCGAACGGTATGCTTGTAGAAACGTCATGTGCTTCAGGTCTCATCTTCAGTCCACATGACAATACCTGTGTTTGGCCCTGGCAGTACACTTGTCCTACGACCACCACTACAACCACTACTACTGCACCGTATACAGGGACAGGTAGCACCACTCCTCGGACAGTTACTCCTACTACCCCAGGAGTCACGTCCACAACAACATGTACAGATGGACAATACTACGTGCATCCGTCCGGAGATTGTAACCGATATCTTTCATGTGCAAACGGCATACTTTTAGAACAGTCCTGTGGGGCTGGCCTGTTTTTCCGTCCAGATGATAATAGCTGCGTTTGGCCTAGCGATTACACTTGCCCTACCACCACCACCACAACCACTACTGCGGCGCCGTATACAGGGACAGGTAGCACCACTCCTCGGACAGTTACGCCTACTACACCAGGAGTCACGTCGACAACGACATGTACACATGGCCAGAACTACGTGCACCCGACCGGAGACTGTACCATATATCTTAGATGCTCGAACGGTATGCTGGTAGAAACGCCATGTTCTGCAGGTCTCAATTTTAGTCCAGTTAACAGTACCTGCGTTTGGCCCTGGCAATACGCCTGTCCTTCCCCTACTACTGACATTACCACGGCCGGATCATACACAGGGAGTACTGGATCACAAGCGAACACAACTGAATCACTAATTCCAACTGAATCACCAGCAACTACAACTGCATCACCGACAACCACAACTGAGTCACCAACAACTACAACTGCATCACCGNCTACAACTGAATCACCAACAACCAAAAATGAATCACCAACAACCACAACTGAATCACCAACAACTACAACTGAATCACCAACAACCACAACTGATTCACCATCAACCACAAATAAATCTCCAAGAACCACTACTAATTCACCAACTACCACTACTGAATCACCAACAACCAAAACTGAATCACCATCAACAACAACTGATTCACCAAGAACTACAAATGAATCACCAACAACCAAAACCGAATCACCAACAACCACAACTGAATCACCAACAAGCTCAACCGAACCAAGAGCAACAACAACTGAATCACCAACAACTTCACCTGAATCACCAACAACCACAACAGAATTACCAACAAGCTCAACCGAATCACCAGCACCAACAACTGAATCACCAACGACCGCCACTGAATCACCAAAAACTGCAACTGAATCTCCAACAATCACAACTGAATCACCAACAACCTCAATGAAATTACTGACAACTACAACCAAATCACCAGCAACAACAACTGAATCACCAACAACCTCAACTGAATCACCAACAACCACAACACAATTACCAACAAGCTCACCCGAATCACATGCACCAACAACCACAACTGAATCACCAACAAGCTCAACCGAATCACCAGTAACAACAACTGAATCACAAACAGCCACCACTGAATCACCAACAACTACAACTGGATCACCAACAACTACAACTGAATCACCACAAACAACAACCGAATCACCAACAACTACAACTGAACCAACAACCACAACTGAATCACTAACAACCAAAACCGAATCACCAACAACCACAACTGAATCACCAACAACCACCACTGAATCACCAACAACTACAACTGAATCATCAACAACTACGCCTGAATCTCCAACATCCACAACTGAATCACCCACAACTGAATCACCAACTACCACTTCTGAATCACCAACAACCAAAACTGAATCATTAACAACTACAAATGCATCACCAACAACCACAACTGAATCACCAACAAGCTCAACCGAATCACCAGCAACAACAACTGAATCACCAACTACCTCAACTGAATCACCAAGAACTACAAATGAATCACCAACAACTACAACCAAATCACCAACAAGCTCAACCAAATCACCAGCGACAACAACTGAATCACCAACAACCTCAACTGAATCACCAACAACCACAACAGAATTACCAACAAGCTCAACCGAATCACCAGCACCAACAACCACAACTGAATCGCCAACAACCTCAACCAAATCACCAGAAACAACAACTGAATCACCAACAACCTCAACTGATTCACCAAGAACTACAAATGAATCACCAACAACTACAACCAAATCACCAACAACTACAACTAAATCACCAACAACCACAACTGAATCACAAACAACCACAACTGAATCAACAACAACCACAACGGAATTGCCAACAACCACCACTGAATCACCAACAACTACAACTGAATCTCCAACAACCACAACTGAATCACCCACAACTGAATCACCAACTACCACTTCTAAATCACCAACAACCAAAACTGAATCACCAACAACTACAACTAAACCACCAACAAGCTCAACCGAATCACCAGCAACAACAACTGAATCACCAACAACCTCAACTGAATCACCAAGAACTACAAATGAATCACCAACAACCACAACAGAATTTCCAACAAGTTCAACTGAATCACCAGCACCAACAACTGAATCACCAACAACCACATCTGAATCACC